GGGTTTGAGCGGTTAGACTTAACCATAGCCCAAACGTCACAGAAACGTTGTGTCTGGTCAAAGAGGGGGGCTAGGAGCGCATAAGTACTCCGAGATTCACATCCAGAATGCTCAGATGATGTTCCTGTCAAGCGAAAGGCTTGTCAAGGCACTTGCAGACGGCAACGGGGACAAGCTCTGGCACCTGTTCAAAGACCAAGCCGCAAGCCCCCAGTCTCAACAGGACCTGCTCACCTGTCGGGAATTGGGCGATCGCCTTACAGCGCTTTTCGTCAACATCATCATCCTGCACGTGCCCCGACCTCCCCAGCAACAGCCTTTGCAGAGGAATTACCTGAGGAGTTTTGAGCCGCTTAAGCCAAGGAGTAGAAAAGCGAAAGACCTAGAGAAGATAAGAGCAAAGAAGACGCTTATAGTCATGAAAAGGCTGTTAGAAGCGGAGAGGCAAGGGCGGTCGCTTGGCACGAACCTAACTGTAACAACTCCAATCTCTTTGGCCCTGTTTGATGCCGCGGGCGATATGCGTAAAGGGTCAAAAAGCGATTTTAACAGGTTTCTTGTCGAGAACGAATTTCCACAAACGCTCTCCAACCGCTACCCCGCGACAACCTGCTGGATCCTAGAGGGCATGTTCATGATCAACTCAGTGCCGCTCGCAAACTGTGTCTACCTCAAGGACTATGTGTACCAGCTTGTGGGCAGGTGGATTAAGTGGAGGCTCCAAGGTAAGGACTCACGACTGTACTCCTTCAGGTCATCTTGAAGGGTTTGTACTCTAAAAGTGTACCACACAGTACGGTGTAAAACAGGGACAACCAAAACAATACCGACCAAAACGGACCGAATGAAGACTAATCTAGATCTATGATATCTCTGAAGGAAACGGTTAACCATTGTAACTTGCTAGAGCATCTTACGTCGACTGTACTTCTTTGAGGTGCTTCTATTGACTTGGTACAACCGAAGGGGCCCAGACGCTTGCTTTGCCTAGTTCGACCGGCCTAATCTGGTATTTGACCTGCGAAGAATGTAAAGCGGCAATCAAAAGCTCGAGAAAGCACCGAACAGACTAGCTTACTCATTACCTTCTCAGGTCCCCTGGTGAACCGGGTGGAGGTGGTCTTTGACGATCGACGGCACTCGACCGGGATGAAGAGCTTCCTGCAGGCCAAAAGGGCCGAGTCAGCGGGAGGCTCCGACGACTCCACCACCAACCTCACTGCCGAGTCCCCCGTCCCCCATACCAACAAGGCGTGGGGCAGCTTCTTGCCAGCGCAAAACTGAAGCGCCAGCTGATCAACATCGTAAGCGACATCCTGCCGGGGCTGGTCACACCTCTCCTTCGGGAAGGGCAGACTTGTCTGCTCGCTGGCGGTTTCGACGGCGGGCAGTTTGAGAACAAGGCGTGCGTCATCACTCGTGTCAACGGCGAAGTTGCGGTAAGCGTGGGGGACGAGTACCTAAGCAATCACGCCGAGGCGGACACCCGAGTCTGGCTGCATGCGCATAAGTGTCCGGAAGACACCATTGTCGTCTATTCCCCCGATTCGGACGTCCTAATGGTGGGCCTGCTCACCTTCGAGCGGTGGAGTGCGCAGCGCTTGGAGAGGCCGGGTAGCAGGCAGGTGTACGTCCTGTCCAGATCAGCCGGTCGCGAGGTGAAGAAGCGAACGAGCCGGGTATTGTCGACGTCAACCAGCTGGTCGGGGCCATCCAGGGTCATCCCCATCTCCAGTCCATCGAAGCTGCACAGCGAGTGAGAAGCCTGGTTAGTCTGTTTGTCCTCACCGGATGCGACTTTGTCTCCTTCTTTAGCGGCATTAGCAAGCGCACGTTCCTCAAAAACTTCTACCAGGAAGCGCATTTTGTGAGCGGGCTGGCAGGCTGCACTTTAGCAGATTGGGAAGAGATGACAACTCGACCTCCGGGGGATGCACGATCTGGGGGGGAATTGGCTGGGGAGCCGGCGAAGGCGCACGGAGTTTCGGGTGCGGCGGCAGAAGAGTTAGGAGGTGCATATGGGGCGTTTTTGAGGATGGTGGGAGTTGCTTACTTCTTGAGATACAGAGCCAGGCTGGTCGAAGAAACGGCTCCTCGCTCGTTCTCAACCTTGACCGGGGGCGCCGACTCACGCGACGCTGCTGCAGTGGAGAGATGGCTAGAAGCAGTTCGGGACTGGACGTGGACGGCATCTGCAGGGGAGGAAGGGAATGTGCCGTCAGCTGGGGCCCTCTTGTTCCACTTCCTGAGGGGTGTGCTGGTCCTAAAAATCTGGGACTCGGCATGCACGGGCTGGATGAGCGTCCCCGCAGTAGGGGAATTTGGCTACAAGCGCGATGCGAGCACGGGGCAGCTGGGGGGCCTTGAATGCTGCCGCTGTGGGCGACCGAGAAACAGGGACTGCGGTTGGGGGCGGAAATGGCTCACCGACGAGCTCTGGCGTGGAGAGTGGCGTCAATGCCGGAGTGGGGGGAGGGGACTGGACACCGTCCGGTCCTCCCCAAGGAAGCAGCGTATCGACCGACGGTCCTGGAGAGACGGAGAGGGGAACCCCAAGTGCTGGTCCCAGCGGGGGCGTCGTTGCAAGCCAAAGTTTCGAGGGGGGGGGGTGGGAGCCTGCAAGCGCACGGGGCATCTTTGGTGAAGCGCTCTCGGACAGTGAATCTGACGATGGTTGGTCGGACGACGATGACGACGACGATGAGGAAGCGGACATTGAGGAGGATATGGGCCTTGGGGTGGGGGAGGCTTTCACGGACGAAGAGCCTGAGCTCGAGCAAGAGGGCCAAACTGGGGTGACTGACTGAGAGGCACCACCCGGGGGTGAGAAGCCTGTACTTCTCTAGCACCAAGTTACACAATAGGACTTCAATGGTCTTCCATTGAAGCATCACCCCGTCCCAAGTCCTTCACTGCTTGCATCCTTTCCTTTTATTTGCAATCTCCAAATAGCCATACCTACTTGGAACTGCAAAGACTGTTGCGAGAAGACCTGGAGGCTGGCTGATTGAGTTTACAGATGCTCTGCACATCAGCGCTGACTTACCTCACATCGTATCTGCAGTGCGCCAAGAGCGCTTCGCGCCCCTAGGCAGTGCCTCCCCCGTACACCATCCCCCTCTTTTCAGGTAGGCGCTCAAGTAGCACCCAGGCTGCGCTCGCTTGAGACCTTGCCAAGGCTGTGCGCGCTTCGAACCTGCCTAAGTGCCATTTCCCTTCGTCTCTGAGCGCCCCTGCTCCTTTGCAAAACATGCGCGCGCCCTGGGCCATGGCTCAAGGTCATACCCTCACTGGCCAACACCCCTCGTGCACGTTGTGTGTCCCTGCCCCTGGCCCAAGCTGGGCCGCCTGACCCTTGCCTGAGCCTTGCATGTCCTCTTGAATGCACTGCTGGCGTGCTTATTGCTTGCCGCCCCCAACACTTGCAGGCGCGCTGAGCTCTGCTGCCCCCCATCCCCTCTGTCATAGTACAACCAGGTGCAAGGCGCCCCCACTTTCGAACTTTCGAAGGCCCCGCGCTCGCGATCACCTCCCCTGTTTACCGCGGGGCCACTGCGCGCTGGGCGCTTGCCGCCCCTGCCAGCAACACTTGCTGCTGCCGTGGGCCCTGCCTGGTGCAAACTCCCCCCTGGCGGCGAAGGCCCCGGCGTGCTCAGCGCCTGCCGCCCCTGCTTTGTCACTTGCTGGCGCCGTGCGCCCTGCCTGGCCCCCAGTCGGGCCTGTGTACAGCATGCCTCCGCGCGCAGCCACACCTTTTCCAGGCTGTAGCGCACGCTGGGTGCTTGGCGGTCCTGGCGGTTGAACCGCTGGGGACGCCCACCTCCTGATTCTGCACAGGTTGACATTAAGGTAAGATATTCACTTTGTCTCATCAAAATGTTCAAAAGTCAATGCCTTCTTCATCCGGGGGTTGTACTATTGTCGCAACGCTTGTGATCAACGATCGCGCTTTTGCTCTTCTGCCCCTCAAATCTGTACGTCATAGCGGCAGCTGAACACTCGCATTTGCGAGCTAGCGGGCCATCATGCAGCAGCGGCTGAATGTCTGGGGCATTGCATCGAAACTCAGAGGGGCACCAAGGTGAGAAGTGATGGGTCAAGACCTTAAAACCATATGATTAGAAGCCTTCAAGGATACAGGGTCACTACACGAATCAATATTGCATCGCCAGTTGCGTGTGTGGCCCCTTCTCTGAAACTGGTGCGCAGATTATGGGTCAGATGCTCACCTCTTTTTTTATGCATGTTGCTGGCAGGGGGAGGTCTGGCTGCCGGTGCTTTGATGGCCAGTGTGACCAGCCCATCCACAGCGGCACGGTGCCTTGCTGCTAAATATCGAAGCAGCAGCAAGAACTCCACCTGCGCAGTGAGCAAGACAGTTTGTTTTTGCTTCTTAGCCCATGATTAGAGCTTGAGCTTGATGAGCATTGTGTCTGGCTTTGTTGAATTACAATCGTAATCCACATTCACTTCTCCTGCCCGGCCAGACTTTTGCCCGCCAAATTTTATAGAAATGCTAGAAGTGGGTCTTTTCAACATGAGTTTGTGTTGCGAATCCTCATATGGATTCTCAGAACTATCACAGTAAAACAAGTTGCGGTCAATGTGGATGTTGAGCTGAATGCTGCCACTGCGATTGCTGCAATTTCATAAGCTTTGTCCAGGCCTTGGACAATGCAGAACAGGATGCAGGACTTCAAGCAACATGTTCTGACAGAGGTTATACCTTCGTTCTTAAGACAAGGTGATTTTACTGGATTCAAATGTAAGGCATCAGGCGCGTTGGTACAACTGCAAAAATGAAAATGCACTTTCTGCTCTGCAGGTAGCTTATTGTCTGGCTTATAGCAAACCACTGCAATTGACCTGAACCAGGCACTAGAAGACACTAGGCTTCCGAGCAACCCGTAGATTTTGTACAGGATGTTGCCAGTCCATTGAATGCTCACCGTAGGTTGTCCCCCCCGAGTGCCACCTTCGGATGCCCACAATGAGTGCAGGCATGCATCCCTGCATAGTGTCTTGCATTTCCAGTTGCACCGAAAGCAATCGGACGATGCCACAATGATATGTGCGCCCCCAATACTCAAATGGTCTATGAGGCACTGAGAATGCCATGAAATTTCACCACATTTCTCATGGCCGCTGCGCTCTATCGACTTGCAGCCAGAACATGTCCTTGCGGTTTGAGGTAGCTACGGGGGCCCTCTTAGGGTTGGCACCCTTACTTACATCAAAATGGCGTCTACAGCCTCCCTGTCAGTTGTGGAATGTCCCAAGGTTTCTGATCTGTTGCTGTCAAGAGCAGCCATTCGGACACCGTCTTAGAATCTTGTGCCGATTCGGACATGTTCCAACAGCGTCCGAATCTTTTGAGCCACTATAGGCGATGACGTGTCACACATGGCTGAATCAACCAATGCGGGATACAGATGCCTGTTTCTGAGATTCGGCGTTCCGCGTGAGAGTCTACACTCTAAGATTAGAGACTAGAGTGCAACGCAGCAAAACTTGATGCTTTCTGCAGGGTGATCCAAGCGTGTTCATTGTGTTCCTCGCGCCATGGCTGCCTCGTCGATCGCCTCTCCTGTCGCCCAGCTTGTCCCTGTCGCTGCTTATCGCAAAGCCTCCGCCTCAGCTGCATCAAGAGACTCTCACTGGTTGTGCCCAACATTGTCGCTGCCACAATGCCTCGGCGCATTGGGCGGGCAGTCCGCCTTCCTGTCCGGTCCGATCCTTTCCAGGAAGGGGGAGTCCCAGCGGCAGTGCTTCTCCCGAGGCTTGCAGGTGCGGTGCGCAAAGGCTGCCACATCCGGCAATGTGGCTGAAGATATCAAGCAGCACACGCGCCTGCATGACCTGTACAACCAGCAGGGGCAGAGCCCATGGCTGGACAATCTCACCAGGTACAGAAATTCCCCCAGCTCTTGGCCAGGTTCTTTGTCACTGGGCTAGATCTCTATGAAAGCACAGCAGCATTCTAGTTCATGCAGTGTTTTGTGGGGGCTCATGTGCCGGTGTTGGACCAAGTCCCACCATTCTTTTCCTATCTTTGTCCTGCTCCCCTTATCGGTTCGCGAAGTGCCAAGACAATTGCCAGCGGCTTGCATGTAAAGGAGAATTAGGTTGTCAATGTTCTTCTACCCCCAGATCATCTGCTCAATTGACCATGCGGAGTGAGCTGGCACTGTGATGATATTTGACGTAAACATTGTGGTCAGCTTGAAGCATATGCGGCTGCCGCACAGGCCCAGAATTGTATACCTGCGATCAAGCGTTGGGCATGCTCGGCTGCAGGGACGACCTCCAGGACGGCAAGCTGCAGGAGTGGGTGGACAAGGGCATCAGGTGGGGGCACACCCAGCCACAAGCCCGCACACCCTCTATGTAGCACCAACTCACTACGACCCCGCTTGTATTGCTTGCACAGGCCTGTTTACATCTGCTTTGCAGAACTTCACAGCATTGCGGTATTTGGACTCCCTTATGTGTGAAAAAGTCCTGGCTGCACTGGGCTTCCTCCATGTGATCCTTCCTCTGGCGACGCCCCTATCCGACATGCGGGCGGTGTGTGATGTGTGCAGGGGTGTGACGGACAACCCGAGCATCTTTGAGAAAGCAGTGATGCACTCGGATCGCTACGATGGTCAGTACCGGGAGCTCATTGCAGCGGGAAAGACTGTGGAGCAGAGCTACTGGGAGCTGCAGATCACAGACATCAACGACGCGCTTGAGGTGAGCGCCCACGTAATGGACCAACGCTGTGCACAAGGTGTTCGGAAGTCGGGCGCCATAAGTCAGCCTCTGCGCTTCGTGTAAGAGTGCAGTCAAAACCACAATAGCAGGCTTCGGTTTCCATTGACCCCTTGAAGGGGGCCTATGTGTCGAATGACATCTTTCAGAGCGCTCTTGTGACTTACACATGGGGCGTCACATAGTCGCGTTTGCACTCAGGTGCTGTGGCCTGTGTATGCGGCCAGCCATGGGGAGGACGGCTACATCAGCATCGAGGTGTCCCCTGAGGTGGCCCTTGACACGCAGCGTACCATTGACTCCGCACGCTACCTGCACGGCAGGTCAGCTCACCGCTTGTTGTTTAGAAGACGAAAATGCCAGGCTTGAGTGTCTAAGAAGTATAAAACACATGTTTCAGGATGATCTTGGGTCTTTGTTTCCTGCAAACTGACGTTGACTGTACTTAACCTGGTGGGTTTCGCCCCCCTTCGACGGGATTGTGACCTTTAAAAAATCACAGGTGTTCGGTGGTGCTTAGTTGTTCTGCTGACGGCTCCTGACATTCTGCTGGGCGCAGGATCAACAAGCCGAACCTGATGATCAAGATCCCGGCCACCAAGGAGGGCGTCCCCGCCATCCAGCGCATGATCGCGGAAGGCCGGAACGTGAACGTTACAGTAGGTTCCGATCAAACGCTGATGCTCCACTCCTTTGATCTGCCAGTTCCTTGCGTCCCCTGCGTGAGCTGGCTTATAGGCACCATTTGATGTGGCCCAATGAACCGGCTAAACCGCCTCATACACGATTTGCAACCTCACAGATTATGCATCCTGGAGGAAGGCTGCAATCAGGAACGGCGGGACGCGAGTCCTCCCTTATACTTCCGAGCACTTCCTCAATCGGAGTCTCTTGTCCATGTCTCCGGCCTTTCCTCTCCTCTCATCGCGCTGACGCCTGCCTGGCGTGCTTGCAGCTCATCTTTTCGCTGACGCGGTACGAGGCGGTGATTGACGCGTACCTGGCGGGCCTGGAGGAGGCTGCTGAGCAGCTATCAGCCGAGAAAGTAGCGGCCATCTCCAGCGTTGCGTCCTTCTTCGTCAGGTGCAACATTCTCCCCTCCCCTAGCAGAAACTTTTTGGCGGGACACGCAAGGTCGTCTGATTGCCCCCCACTGGGGCAACCGTTTGAAGACTGTATCCACGTGTTTCAAGGCCCAGGACTGGAGGGCTGCAACTTTTTACGTTTGTCAGTGGTCCTTTTTGAGGACGGCGCTTGGTAAGAAGGGCATGGCTTCTGTGTGCCCCAGCCAATGTAAACGTTGCTTGGTCGAGGGTTGCAAAATCTGCAGTAAAACGAGCACGTTCCTTAACTTTCATGTCTATCATTCTTTTCATCATCTGCTCGTGGTCGTGTGTCGCTGAAAGCACCATTTCCCCGAGTTGATTGGAGTTGCGCCTTTAGAACTGTCCTGCTTGGAGGCCCGCTGATGCTGACGTGGCGGTGTTGTGTGCAGCCGCGTGGACACGGAGGTGGATAAGCGGCTGGACGCGATCGGCACGCCCGAGGCGCAGGCGCTCAAGGGGAAGGCCGCCGTCGCGCAGGCCAAGCTCGCGTACGAACTTGCGCAAAAGTGAGCGGGCTCTTCGGCACCACTTGCGCCTCCTTCACTTCGACACAGTCTCGCAGCATCCGCCGCGGGGTTTTGCGGCAAAGGAAGGTGATATCGTGCGGCGATCCGACAAGCTCCTCTAGCTTAAGTCATGGCGGTCAACACATAGCGAGTGACCTTACAAAGCACTGTACGCTTCACGAGCAGGTGTTTGCGTTTCGTTGGTTTGGCCTCTGGCAACTCGTCCGAGAAGGCGCATTTTACTTCAGTCAGAACTTGTTGACAGGCGACGCGTGGGTCGAGACACAGCGTGACCCTGTAAGTCACTTTAGATTGAAATCTCATCGGCGAGGTTTGGCAGACATGCTTTTGCCCCCTGCAGAAATCCCAGTCGAAATCGAGAAGCGGTAAATAGAGGTACTGAAGGACCGCGCCACATACAAAGTCCTCAGCAGTGAAACGAAACGACACGTCTCTGCTACAATACCAACTACACAGGATTTCACATGCTCGGAACCACTCAAAGCCGACCGTTCATCAAAAGGGGGTCTGCGTCTCAAAGGCCAGATGGGCTTGTATCTCAAGACGTCAAGCTGCGGTATCGCATACACTTGTGCAGTCTTTCCGTCCTCCTGGGCAACAAGAGGATGGTACCCCATTTCATCGCCAGTCCGCGAAGTTGAGGTGTGACAGCCCAAGTCCGTTGCTGCTTCTTAAACCACCCCCCTTTTCCTGCTGTGCAGCAAGTTCAGCGGCCCGCGGTGGCAGGGGCTGGCGACGCGCGCGAGCGCCAAGATGCAGCGGCCGCTGTGGGCGAGCACGGGGACCAAGAACGCCGCGTACCCGGACACGCTGTACGTGGACCAGCTCATCGGGCCCGCCACCGTCAACACCATGCCCGAGAAAACCATCCAGGTGGGGCACGCCGGGCAGGCCACGTGGCGCCCCCGGGCACTCTGCGACTGCGGTCGCTCGCGATCTTCGTGGGCTGCGCCCAATTGACATCTGCAGCAGTATCGGTTGCCACGAAGGGACTGCCAAGACAACAGGCGCGCCTGCTCGGAGGTTCTCCGATTGCTTTGGAAGAGTGCTCTGGTTTTACACGTACCTCGACATCCGTGGTGTAGGTTTTGGGGGTTTTAGGATTTTAGGGAGTCACGACGGATGGACTCGTGCTGTGTGCAGGCGTTCATGGACCACGGCAGTGTGGCCCGCACTGTGGACCAGGAACTGGACGACGCGCACGCCACCATGCGAAAGCTCAAAGAGGTGACTCCTGCCGACCCTCACCATGACGACCACCGCTCGGGGCTGCGGCCTGCCTCTTATCGTGTTGTATCCATGTTTCGCATGAAACCTCGTTTTCGAAGAAGTCGCACTCAAGCCGTTGTTCGTCGCAATCCGTTGGAATCAAAGTTGCGCATGTGTCTTCATTGCGGGCCGTTACGGCTATTGTCGCTCTCTAAATGGTGACTTTCGTGAAGCGAGGCTGACAAGTCCGCTCCGCGGCGCTTCTGTGCCCAGATCGGCATCGACATGGAGGACGTGGCGACGACGCTGGAGAAGGCGGGCCTGGACTCCTTCGGGCAGTCGTTCTCGTCGCTGATGGACAGCCTGACCAAGAAGTCGGAGCAGCTCACGCCCGCCTAGGCGCACGCCGGCACCCGGGGGAGCGGGGAATCGGGTGTGCACCCACCAGGAGGGACGCGGAGAGAGATCATGCATCAGGAGCGGACCGGAGGAGCCCCTCGGCTTGCCAACCCAATGATGATGTAACAATACAGTGAACGCTTAGGGCCAGATGTCAAATATAGGTGTAAGCATATGGTGCATGCCAGGCTGTACAATATTACGCACGCTTTCAATGGAAAAAAAAGGACGCTTTGCAGGATATCCTTGTACAAGTAAGTCGGAGGTTCCGCCCAAATCCCTGTGAAAACCAAGCTGGAAAAGTTTTGTTCCGAAGGATACGTCGTTTGATCGAGGGACGTGTAGCTGCTCATGCATGCTTGGTCGCGTACGATTTTATTCAAGTCAGAGCAATGAAAGTACGTTTCTGGCTGACAATCTATTCACCTGGCAAGCCGGGTTGGGCATAATCGTCCGTGAGTCGGTAGTACAGCGCACTCCTCAAATAGTTCTTTGGCGATGTAGGGACGTAAACTGTCATCTGTACGCCATGCGCGCTGGCGGCAGCATGCGTGCTGCAGCGGCCCGAGCCTGTGTACACTCGAAGTTGAGCATGCAGGAGTAAATAGTTGTACCGACTCATTGAATGCTTATCACTTAGTGTGCAAAAGTAAGTTGAGAAGCATGGTCGAATGGCATACTACCACGCGCACGATGTTGTGCGGTCGCGCGGCGCGCAACCGCAGCCAGAATGTCTGCCATGGCCAGCTAGATTCATGAACGAGTACGGTGGACACTGAGCGCGGTGGTGCACACATGACCGTACGTATATTTGATCGCTATGCTAGCTAGCTGTGGGAGTCGCGATCGGATCCATGAAATTATGATTCTTCTGCACTTGGCCGGGCGCTGACTCATTGTAGAATTGGTTGTATTGTAGTCGTACTGCATGAGACTCCTGCATGAAAATCAAATCAAGTACGACTACGCAGATTCAAACGAGCTTTTTGAACCAAAATTTCCAGGGTTGCACGTTTACTTCGATCACGTTCTCACACCTAAGGCAATGTCTGTACACCTTTCTAAGTTCCACTCTGTTTCACGAGATCATCTTCCGGCGCTATATCATCTCCAGATTCCGTCCTCCCCCCTTCCCCCTGCGTCCTCTCCTGCGCCTGCTTCACAATCTCCGCGATCGCCTCTTTGTGTGCCCTGCTTCCGACGCTGCCTACCAGCGCTTCCCGGTACGCCGTCTCCACGGGGTCGCTCAGCGACGGCGCGGGCCGGCAGTAAGTGCTCGCCAGCTGTCCGATCCGCCACTGCGCTTCCCGCAGCCGCTTCAGGGGCACATGCCCCGCCTCTACGGCCGCCGCAATCCCCTCGATCGCGGCCACCTGTTTCTCCTCCGTGTGGCATACCAGGAACATGTCGCACCCCGCGGCAAGGCCCGCCGCGGCCGCCTCCGCGATGCCGTACGATTGCGCGATGGCGCCCATCTCGAGGCAGTCCGTGGCGATGACGCCGTCGAAGTGCAGCGTGTGCCGCAGGTAATGCAGCGCGCCGCGGCTCAGGGACGCGGGCAGCGCGGCCTCGGAGGGGGCGGCCGCGAGGGCGGGGACGGCCACGTGGGCAACCAAGATGGACGCCACGTCAGCGCTGATGGCGGCCGCGAAGGGCGGCAGCTCAACGCGTTCGAGCCTGCGAAGCATAGACTCAAGAGGCTTGGGGCGAATTTGAGGAGGTTGGGCGGGATCTTTGTGATAGAGTAGCAGTGAAGGTGCGCCGACTTACTGAATCACGAGTTTCGTCAGCGTGGCTTCGACCAAAGCAGTCAACGACGTTTGAAAGGTCGGCGAATGGATGATGCTTACAGGCTTATTGTTTTACCTAAGTCAGTGGAAGCTTGAGTTTAGGCTTTTGTGATTAGCAACCGCATGTTCGAAGTTCGCTGTTTGAACAGCGTGTGTTCAAGAACGTCCTATCACGGAAGTCGGAGTACACCGTTCTCGATAATCCAGCAGAACCAACTTTCGAGACGACAGATGTTTGTAGCGGCAGAAGGGCAGCGAGCAAACATTTTTGGTGCTCGCTTAGTGACGAAGCCAGCGATCGTTACGAACTCAATATTTGGGTCTCAACAATGACATCCGCCAGGGCTATCTGATTATTGCTGCAAAACGAAGGGCCGAAGAGCTAGGGCCGACGCAGTTTGGCTTTACCTCGGCATCCTCTCGACAAGCGGACTCATCTTCTTCACGAAGGAGGAGAGAAACTCCAAGCAAGTCGTGTGACGAGACGGGGCAGAACAGGGCAAAAGAGCCTTGGCACCGACCTAGGACACGCGAGCCTTCTCTCATTTGTACGTTCTGAAACCAGAGCACCAGCTGGCATCAACCTCCTCGACTGTTTTGTTCATCTTTGCGCTCACCTCTCCCGGTCGTGGTGCACGTGCGGCAGGCTGAGATGACTGTCTTGTTCAGTATCGCCATGGCCCGGGAAGTGTTTGGCACACGCGGCCACCCCTTCCTGCTGCAGGCCCCGGATGACCGCGTACCCCATTTCTGACACCACCTCCGGCGACGTGCCAAAGCTGCGGCTGCCAATCACCGGGTTCAGCGGGTTGGTGTCGACGTCCATCACGGGCGCCAAGTCCATGTCCACGTTCACCGCGCGCAGCTCTTTGCCTAGGACTCTCCCTGCCGCTTCGGCTGTAGAGGGATCCCCCGCAGCCCCAATTGTTCTTGCTGGGGGGACGACAGTGAAGGGCGGGCCCAGTCTCTGCACGCGCCCCCCCTCCTGGTCGACCATGACGAGCAGCGGCCGGCTGCCCGCCTCGCGCTTCAGGTTGGCAGCCAGCTCCGCGACCTGGGGGGGGTCCGCAAAGTTGCGCGAGAACAGGATCACGCCGCCCGCGCCTGGAGGGAAAGAAGGACGTTTTACAAAAGAAGTGGAGGACAGGGTACAAAGATGAGGAATAAACATATAGAGGAGACTTGAAAGCAGACGCCATTAATCTTGTATCTCCTGTAGAAGCTCCAAGTGGTGCCAGATGTGTCAACAAGTTAGCTAGGGTGCATCCAGGACAGTTCTGCCTTTTGGCACTCCTACTGAACGTGGGTGAACCTATTATACTGCGGGACCCACTCTTCTGATGCGCCGAAAGCTCAAGCATGAACAACTCCAAATGATCAGATCCCCTTAAGAACTGAGCTGAATATCGCATAAGTCATTATTGTGAAAACTTCAGAGCAAAATTACTGGGCTACTCTAAGACAAAATCCATGCTCTCATTCACCCAAGCTTTGACCATCACCACCACTGTACAGCGAGAAGAGCAGTTCATCATTGTTCGAAACAGCGCGGAAGCTAAGACTGCCTCAGGCGGGCCATCTCACCCCGAGCAATCATGTTCTTGGCGTGCTTGTTCAGAGTGGGCCCTTTGCCTGTGAACCCAAACACTATCAGCCGAGCAGCAATCGACTGGAGATCCTCTGTTGATGGGAGGTTTTGAGACCTTCCTTCCTGAGCTAGCTTGTTGGGCTCTATGGCAGGGGCTTCTGAAGGGGCATTTGATGAGGGTGGTTCCCTTGTCTCATGAAGCGTCCTAGTGTCAGGTCCCATGGATTCTACTGCCCCTTCTGAAGTGCCCACGTCAGAGGGCTCTGGATCCAGCTCAGGAGCAGGCTTTGTTTCCAAGGGAGTCTCGATGTAAGTGTTTGCTCTGCTTTGCAGCTCAGCGGTGTCGGGGGGGGGCTCTTGTGAAGTGTCCATCCTTGGGAACGCTGCACTCAATGATGAGAGCTGTCCAAAGCCATTTCTAGCTTACTTTCTGACATGACCACTCTCTGCACAAGGGGCACTTTAATGGAGTGCTTCGGCAGTTCAAACAGAACCTTGTGAGAATTCAACAAGAGGCCACTCCTCCGGGGCCAGCCAGCCCCGCCTGTTGCCAACAAGATGCAGAATGGGTTCCCCTGCCCTGTCACCTCAAGGCTCAAGCTATGCTCTTCGCGGCTCCTGACACTCCACCACTCTTCTCTGATCTTGATGGGTGGTGGTACCCCCTTGTTGTTGCCCAATGCTGGAGCTACTTCCGGCGCCACTTGCAGCATGCCCAACGGAATTCTTCTCTTTGTGGCTGTTGGCCCACCCTTCGGGCAGCGGGCTCACAATTGCGGTGTCTACCGCAGGCGGCACTCTGACCAGGCCACTGTCGCCACCCCCTGCTGCTGGAGGAACTCGTACTAGAGCATCATCCATGCTGACAAGCGAGAATGAAAGCGGACCATGCTGCACATGCCAAGCTCTAACAGGATGCGATCACATGTTTCGTCCGTCTTGAAGTTGAAGGTGAAGTCATCTATGCAGTCCACTGGTCAGTTGACACATTCTTCCAAGTCTGGCAAGAGTCAAGAGTCGAGACACACGCATGTCTTGTCACTCTACCGTCATGAAGCTCTCGGATCAGTTCTGATTAGCACCACCACTGCTCAGGCACATGAGCGCCCGTTGCTGATGGCAGTGTTGCAGTTGAAAGCAGAGCTTGACGTCAGTGTAAGGAGTTGAGAGGAGCCCCACCACTGGCTGGCCAGGACAATCAGAACTATCTCTGCAGCTTGTGCTCCTGAGCTCCAAGGCATAATCTTGCAGAACAGCGCGTGCATTTTATATTAGCACGTTGATGGGCAGGCCAATCGCGCAGTGACGATGGGTGGGTGCACTATGGCCGCAGAGTTGAGGATGGGCCCAGCTGTTGGTGAGCTTCTCAGCAGCCCATCCTGTGGCTTGAACAATCACAGCCCAACTTTGTACAGACCCCTCTGCAGGCATCTATTCGCATCCCCCACACATAACCCCTTGCATGCTAACAGCACGCAAAAGGCTAACGGCATTCGGAGGCATCTCAACAGAAGAATCCTTCCCCCCAGACCACTCGTGATTGCAAGCAGCCAGCGAGACTGCCCACAAAACGATGCGGCTCCTATTGCCCCTCCCTTGCCACCAAGCTCCGCTGAGTCCTCCAATGCTGCACCGCCAGCTGGCGCCTCCGCTGCCCAGCTGTCCCGCCGGCAGGCCCTCATTGCGGCGGGCGCCGCTGCAGGGACGGGCCTGGCGCCCGCAGCCTTGCGGCACCGGCCGGGGCTAACGGCGGCAGAGAGTGTTTCTGACGGAGAGCCGGCAGCCATAGCGGCACTGCGCGAACGCGTGTCAGCATTCACTTTGAGCAACGGCATGCGCTGGCTGGTGCTGGAGCGCCACAACGCGCCCGTCATTGCGTGCCACACGTATGCGGACGTGGGCGCCTCGGTGGAGGTGGCGGGGCAAACGGGGATTGCCCACTTGCTGGAGCACATGTGAGAAGGGGCTCTGAGGACTTGCAAGGAGTGCGTGCTGTAATCGAGCTCTTGTATGGGAAGATGAGCAGAGAGTGACTGTCATGCGGCTGATTGATTCCCCTGTTCGAAGAATTCATGTCTCGTCCCTCTGTCCTGATGGGCTTCCAAGTATATTTCTTGATGAGCTAGCAAGACTGTCGTCACTGCTGGGAGTGTCTTGTGCTGCACCCATCCTTTGCTCTTGTCGTCCGCGTCTCCTCATGTTGTGTCTCTGCCTCCCCACAGGGCTTTCAAGGGGACAGCACGAGTAGGCACCACCGATCCACGCAGGGAGGCACAGCTGCTCGACTCCATCGACGAAGGTCAGTATCACAAAGCGAACTGCCAATGAGGGGTTTGAGGAGTACAGTCTGCTCCCAATTTGTCCTGTTTGTGCTGCTTTCTGGGTTGTGCTGGAAGGACTGTCCCTTTTCTAGTCCATCTCTTCCTCCTGACTGTCCCATGCTGTCGTCTACCTGTGGCGCCACCCCTTCACACACCTTGCTAAATCCCTGTCTTCTTGGCAGTGTTCTACAGCATGCGCGACGCTGAAGCCAGCGGCAACTCTGCCCGCGTGTCCAAGCTCCGAGACGAGTTTGCCCGGCTGTTGGCGGCGGCCGAGCAGCTGGCGGTGCCCAACGAGTATGGGTCCATCCTGGCGCGCCAGGGGGGGGTAGGCCTCAATGCGGCCACCAGCCAGGACAACACAGGTCAGCTGCAGGTGCCCCCCTGAGACAGGGGCAGGGCTGCAGGAGACTGTCCTTTCGGTATGCTTCTTGTGATCATGTGTATGAACCTCGAGCATACGGGTCACTGGCTTGCGAAGCTGGGTGTACTTTATTGGAGATGAGATTTCCAAACGGACAGATTGCGGGACAGAACAGATCAAATCTTTAAGGGAATAATCAGGGAGCATCGGCGGATGACTGCAGCGAAAACTGGCTCGCAAGAGCTCGTTCGTGCAGACTTTTTACAAAAGGATGCGTCATGATGTTCGACTTTCTTGGTACAGAGTATTACGTGTCGTTGCCTGCCAACAAGCTGGAGCTGTGGATGGCCCTTGAGAGTGGCCGCTTCATTGCACCCGTCTTCCGGCAGCTCTACAATGAAAAGGAGGTGGGAGGCCGCCGTCAGGAAGCTTCATCAATGACGAGTGTCGAATGCTGCTATTGGTCAGCCCGCAGAAAGCCTGTTGTGGCATCAGTGAAGCTACGCAGACGAATGCTGCGATTGCGTGCCTTTCGGCATGCCTAACTCATCAAGAAGGCCTGTAATGAATGGTATAAGAAGACGTTTTGGTGCCTGTCCGCCTCAGCTATGACAGCCACCCTCTTTGAGAGAGGCAGGCATCATCTGATATGCTCGCTCGCTCCTTAGTCCCTTTTCCCCTTGTTAGGCCCTTCTCTCGAACCCTCGGTCTCACCCAGCGTCCTCGGGGTTAACTGCTGAACCTCATACCACTATTTATGTAGCTCTTAGGTGTAACTCCTCCCTCCAGCTGATTGTCATCACAGGGCTCGACTATTTGCATCTCTTGCTTGATTTTCTTTCTCTCGTAGCCTAGTTTCTCCGGTGGCGCTCCATTTCCGGCTTACATGCTCATTATTGCTCGCTCGCCCCCTTAGGTGGTGAAAGAGGAGCGCCGATTACGCGTGGACAACTCCCCTTACGGCCGCTTCAGCGAGGAGTTTGCGCGTGTCGCGTTTGCCGGTGCGCCGTACGGGCGGCCCGTGATAGGCTACCCCGGCGACCTGGAGGCGCTCGGCCGCCGCGAGGTGGACGCCTTTTTCGCGCGGCACTACCGCCCCGACACGCTCACCTGCGCGGTCGCGGGGGACGTCGACCCCACCACCGTGCAGCGCCTCGCGGAAAAAGTGAGGCCGCCAGCCGTTGATCTTGACAGCCGATTGGTCCTTTTTTGCGTCACACAAATAGATTTCGCGGCCACCTATTAAGGACGAGCGAAAGGAAAGGGCTGTGCGCTACAGGGAGTCCTTATCTGCATTTTCTGTTTGATGAAGATGCTCGTTCGTCGGAACACGCATGTTTTGAGAACGTGTATGAAGGTCCTCCTTCGCAAATACGGACTAGTCGCTTTGGGTGCCAATTCAAGTGTGCAAAGTAAGGAACCTTTTGCCCTGTCATTGGGGCAGTCAGTGGGAGGGCGCGGGTCGCAAAGGGAGATTCCCCATTACTTGGGACACCAGTCAAGGATTTGAAAGGGATTGACTTTCGGCTAGGCGCTGAGATTTCATGCGGTAAATTCAAGAGGCGGCTTTCAGTGGAGTCGAGAGCCAACAAGATTAGTCAGAGCGGCATAGTCAAGGACGGCGACAAACTCATTTCGGGATAGCTCAAAATAGGAATAAGATGCCGGAGAAGCGGTTAACATCGCGGACTTCGAGCACTCTCGTGTTCAGTCGATATTGCATCAAGCAATACCAGGGGCGCCTCCTGACCCGTCCCCGGCAGCGCTCCGTTGGCAAAGAGCTATCACGCTCTGCAGCGATTGCGGATGGAGCAAAACGAGGGCCCCCTGCCTTTTGTCACCTGCCTCGTTGTACCTCTGAGCTGGGTCCCTTCTCTGAATCTGCCCTCCTTGCTGCACAGTACTTCGGTCCTTGGCGGCCTTTCTCGCCGGACCCACGCGCGGCAGCGGAGCTGCGGGCGGCGGCCGCGATTGCGGGCGAGTGGCCACAGGCGCAGGGGCCCAAAGAAGTGCGCGCCTCGTTGCCGGCCAACCCGTTCTACATGGAGGGTGAGCGATGCGCAATTAACCGGGGTCACGAGTAAGCGAAGGCGGCTTTGTGAAACTGTCGGAACTTTCATGTGTTTTGCGTGAACCAGCACGTCAACCTCTCTGATTTGCAGGTTTTGATGATTGCTGAATCAAGCGAACTTGAATCTGACCTTAAGCTGGGGCTTCCGTGTGCTGATGTTGTTCCCTACGAGCGGAGGTCGTTGCGAGAACCCTTGTTTGTCAGCACAACTCAGTAGCAGGTCGGCAATTTCTATGAAATATTTGGCCACTAGAAGACGGGAGTCAAGATAACTCATGTCCTACGTATCAGTAAGCATCCTCCTCCTTTCAAAAAACAAAGCTGAGGTTGACAAGTGACTGTATGGCTGACGGTTTCCAACTATTAGTGCATCTATCAGGCGCCGACGAGCTCCGTACAGGGCGTTTCATGGATATATCCTGTCGAACTTTGTCGAAATTTGGCCGGAGAGCGTGTGTTCCTCAATCATTGCGCAGTCTTGCCGTGCGGTATCGTTTGCTCTTGCGTCACCCTTTCGCTCGGCCTGCTGTGCCCCGCAGGCTACTTGCGCCCCCCCTCTAGTTCCCCGCTGGACCCGTCCCTGTCCGTTCTGTGCGACGTGCTCAGCTCCGGCCGCACGTCGCGCCTCTTCCGCCGCCTCGTCGTCCCGGGCAAGCTGCTCTCCGTGGACGCCGCCGAGAGCTTCCCCGGGGACCAAATGGCCACGCTGCTCCTGCTCTACGGAATCCCCAAGCCCGGTACGGGCTCCCGCGCCGGCGTCAACCAATGTCCCTTGACCGCGGAACTCGGAAGACTGCCGTATTGCCACGGCTTCCAATTCCCTCTTTCCAGTCGGGAGGAGCTTTTTGGGCCTGGTTCGTACATGTTGGACTGGCTCGACTTTCTTCATTGCTGTCACGGCGATGCCAATTGTCTTTCTGGTTGTCTCAGCACCGCGGCTGCGCTCAAAGCCTCTGAGTCGAGCGCCTCGACAGTCCACTTCACCGCCTCTCCAAGGTCATATCGCACCCGTGGTGACCGTCTGCCGCCGCCCGCTGTCTCGCAGGCAGCAGCACGGAGGACGTCGCGTCTCTCCTGCACAGCGAGCTGGACAGCCTGCTGTCGCAACCACTGACGGAAGACGAGTTGCTGCCCGCCAAGAAGTCGGCCAAGGCGGGCCTGCTCGAAGCGTTCGGCAGCAACCGCGCCATGGCGCGCCTGCTCTGCGAGTACGAGGCGACAACGGGCAGCTGGGCCAACCTGCTCCAAGAGCCGGACAAGATCCAGGCGGTCGCCCCCAACGACATCCAGGCCGTCGCGCGGCGGCTGTTCCGGCCGGATAATCGTGTTGCGGGCCACGTGAGCATGGGGCCGTTCGATGGGTTCTCTGTGTCGGCTCCCTCCATGTAAGATGGCTGGGGTTTGAAAATGATTCAGTAGAAGGACAAAGATGTGTGTTGCGTAGAATTTCAACATAGAAGAACGTCGCCTGGTGTTGCCGCTGCTAGCTCTGCATGAGCCGCGAAGGTGTGATAACAGCTAAAGTACTACAAGTACCTAGCTCGACAGTGGATAAAGTCAAGGGGCGTATTTTGAGAGTTACGTACGGTAGTTGCAATTCATGTACGACTTGCCGGTTGCACGTAGAATCAAATGGCACATTATTAAACGCCCATCAGTGCCAACTTACCTAGGCCGCCGTATGTGCACTCATGCATCATGCGTACTGATGATCAGTGCGTAGCCGGCCCACAATCATTGAATAATTGCTTACGATCACTCAACTATAGCTATATTATATAGCCATAGAGCTGCTAGATCATTATATCAAATTGCATGAACTAGAATGTCCTCCCCCTTGGAAGTTTTGCGATGAAGGGTTTATCATGGGGTCAAGAGTTATCTGGTTTCGAAGCAGGGAATTTGCAGGGGTTAGTTGGGGGTCAAACTGGTTCATGTTTCGATCTCGGTCAACGTGGTCAACCCGGTAAGGGTTTCGGCCAATAGGATCACGAATAAAAATGCCTTACCGTTTTAGGAACATGTCATGTCAATAAGGGAGGCAATGATCGTCAGACTATGCGTATACCCGGCCAGTAACGTCGGTTGCGTACGTAGGTTTTGCAGGCAAGCTATAGTGAAGGCGATCATGAACTAGCATACACTATATATATGTCACATGAGCTCATGATCAGCCGCGATTGCAGAATCGACCCTAGCTTCATGGCCGGATATCTCCACCCGCGCAAGCTTAGTACTGACCGTCGAGATATACACGTCATATGCAGCCTGGCGCCCGCGCTGTGATTGACTGCACGATCGATCGTGGCATGTCGCCTCGAATACTATATAGCCTCAACGTGCGGGCCAGCTCGTTAAGCATGTTGCATAAGCTGCACATAAACTTGAAATTGTTCGCGGTGCCCGGTCGGTGCCGGATGGTCTGAACAACTTGTGCCGGGTCACTTACTATTGACTCAAACTCATATGCCGCTAGCTGTGATGCGCAGATCTCATTGAAACAAGGCATCATGCATAGCATCCGATTGTATCATGGCTGCCCGCCGCGCCAGGGCCAAACTCATTCTAGGTCAACATACTTGACACACAAGTGCGGCATCGCAGATGCAACAATGTCAACTCAGCTCGCAAGCAAAATTAGACAGAGCAACTCAGTTGCTCGACGCCTTCAGATTCGAGTCCAATTTGTATGTAGCATCCAGACTGTCTACCTGATTTTCCTTGAGCAACTTGCAAATAATTGCTCGCAAAGGGCCAAGCCAACATACTAATCACAGTTACAATTGCAGCTGATTGCAGGCAGTTGAGTCTGTCACAGTTGACTTGAATCGAAATAATAGCCTTATGTAATGATAGCCTAACTTTATACAGGACGCACTTCTTCAAGGAGGGGTTGACTGACTTGTGAATATGAATCAATATTCTATTCGCACCTGATCATACGTAGGAGACTCCCGAGACCATGTTGAGGCAGAGGGCCAAACAGACTGTCACACACACAAGCGCCTTCGCTGCGAGAGCCCTGAAGTAGTCATCCAAAGTTCGCGACACACCGACCACCGCTGAAGCCACCCCGGCTCCCCCGCCACCTTGCCGTGGGCTACTCCTCGGGCTTCTCCAGAGCACCTCATGCAACCCCGCAACCAAAGCCCTAATCGCCTCATAAGCTGCGATGCCCGTAACGTCCATCAGGAACCGGCGGTTCTGTGGGTCGATCAACGTCTGGAACAGCTCCTGCAGCCATGCCTGATTTTCGCCGCCGGTTGACGCCCCCCCTCTGCTGACCCCTACAGCTGCCCTTGGCAGCAAACCCCGTTCCCCGGCTGGCGGCTCCCCTCTTGGTTGAAGCCTTCTTTCAGAGGTTCCAACTCCCTTTTCTCGCTCTATAACTTCCTCGATCCTAGCTCTCCGTAACCTTTCTTCCGCCGGCTCCCCTTCTGCGTATCTCTCCTCAGGCCACAGCACTCGCGGCTCTAGTGAGGACGAGGGCGTCACGGCGGCACGCTCTCGCAGGGCCGATGCCGGCGGCCGCGACGGCTTCTCGCTGGTGAGCACCTCGTGGGAGGTGCGCACGAGCGTATCAACAGCACTGTTGGCCAGTGTTCCCACCAGGTCTCGCACCTGCTGCTTGTTTCCCGGCTTGCTCATGCTGGCCCACATGTCATCGTACACATTCACACCCGCCGTCTTATCCAAAAACACGGTAACTGCGTTCACCACCAGCGTGGTGACACAGTCTGTGACCAGAGCCCGTCCCTTGTCTGTACACGCCTTCTCAAACACCGCGTCAAGCAGACCGGGCTGAGGTCCGCTGTCGTCCCCGCTCTTGCCCCCTTTTCCAGAATCCAAGTACGCCGCTGTGAGCTCCCTCACAACGCTGCCGACGATAGCGGACGCGAACCCTCGCCCTGGCTTGGTGAAGAGTTTGTCCATGACCTTGTCCACAAAGCCTGGCTCGTCAGCAGCATCGCACGCGCATCTGCTGCTCAGGTACGGAGCCGCAGCTTTCGACTGAAGAAGACCGTCGTAGTCGACTCCACTCCAGTCAGCATCTCTGGTGGAGAAACACTTTCCGCCAGAGAGCTGCAAGGGCGAACAAGTGTACTCAGAGAACAAGTCACATGTCAGTCGGCAACACAGCTTGTAAAATGCGGAAGAGTTCGGTCACTACAGACAGCATGAGACGGACAGAGCTTGTTTACAACCTTTGAAATCAAGTGACCGTCTGCTTCCTCAGGTGGTCACGCGACCAATAGAAAGCAACAGAACTGACATACGCAACATCATTTCACCTCGACAGCTGAAGGTCAGTGGACTTACGCTTCTTGACATGGGACTCTGCCCTTGAGTGGCCCCGACAACCCCTTTGACCAATGATCCAGACAGCGATGCTGCAGCCTGCTGAAACTCTTGCGAGGCTGCAATCTTGAGCATCTGACGAATGCTGCGTGGAACCTCATCACTGTCAGACTGCAAAAACGTCTCCAGTTCTGTTGTCACCAGATGGACAATGTCCCCGCTCCCTTTTGCTGCGTGGCTTAATGCAGTGCAAGCCTCTTCCACCGCACACAACTGCTGCTTTGCCCTGGTCCACACATCAGCCGTATACACTTTATAGCCCGCATAGGCCCCCACCAGTATGAGCGCCCCGCCTACAATAACATGTTTCTTCCGCATCCTTGGCCCGCTGAAAGGAGTCATCGCCCCAGACACGTCCTTGACATCTAAAACGTCAGCGGCGACCACCTATCCACTAACCTTTTCTCCTAGAGCAATTGTCGAACAGAATTGCTCCACTGGCATCGTTGCCACAAGGACACCCCCGCCGCTCTGCCATCCTTCTCAGGCTTCTTTTGTCCCTGTCACTGTCACTGTCCCTTGTCCCTCAGGGGCTGTATCTTGATCAGTCTGAGACAGTGACACTAGGAGAGTGAGAGGTCTGAAACTGGCCCAGTGGGTTTGAACTTTGATCTTCAGTGGCACGGGGAATTCGCACCAAGCTCTTACGAAAATTATTTTTTTCCTTTTTTGAATTTCGCCCCAGGGTTTTGTGGATTATTTGAGTTTCGCACTAGCCAAGATCTACAGTGTTTTAGGCACATTTTACGTGTTTCCAGGGTACATTTGAGTTTATTCTGATTTCGCACTTTCGCACTAAGGTCAAAATAATTCCCGGAAATTTTCGCACCGAGGCCATACGCATTATTTTTGGTGCGAATTCCCCGTGCCACTACGGTAGACTTCGATCTGACTGTGCGCGGCCTGGCGCGCTATCCGAGTCAGAGGCATATCGAACGTTTTATTTCTCGCCAGCTGGGACAGGTAGATAATCGACGGTCAAGATCTTCTTGTTTTCACATGGCCTTCCAACGATATCGGAATCCCGCACTAACCCAAACTAACCCGCACAAACCCCCGTACTAACCTCCCTGTAGAGAATACCGTAATACGTGCACAGTTCACTGTTCAGGCTTCAGCCTTCCACTTTCCAGCCTTCAGGTGCTTCAGCCTCAGGTGCTTCATGCGCGGACAGGCGCTTCGTTCTTGCGTTCAAGGAGCCCTTTCGAGTTCGAAAATCCGGCTTCACTCCTAGGGGTTAGAAGGAGGTTGGGTCTGAGGAACTCTGAGCAATGCCTCTGGGGATCTGCCAGCATTTAGCTAGGGAAGTGATGAAAAGGGGCAGGCGTGGATTATATGCTGGGGAAAGAATACGCTTTGGGGATCAGATTAGTGAAGATGGAGGAAACAGGTGAGGAAAGTGTACCGAAAAGCGGGATAAGGTCATGGAGCTTGCTTCCCCTGCCAGTTGTCTGGATGTGGCAGTCTGCCTGCATTCAAGTAGCAATCAGAGGGTGGTAGATGCTTGTCCTAATGAGCGACACTTTCTTCTGATTCATCTGGCAGTGGTAATGATATCCTTTGTAGTAAATGCTGATTTGGCTGCCCATGAACTTGAGTTTCCATGTGTGCAAGAGATGCAAGACTTCAGGTGAAACATCCCTTTGGTGATGCTCATGCACCAGCCCAAAAAAGGATCCTTTCTAGCTGTACTCAGGACGGATGGTTCATAGCATTCTGGCCACCATCTGGCCACACTTCTTCCAGGATGCGCTATATATTTCGCATATAGTTCGAATGAATCTGCAGCATATTCATCACACTTAGACCATTGTAAACCACTTTTCAGACGCTCAATTGTGGAAGGATTTATTGCAAAACATAGATTTGCGTAACTTTCCGAGGCATTTTTTGAACCACCTAATGCAGCTGCTCAATCTCAGGCTTTGTGAGGCTTGAGGAGATTCTGGGGAGAAGTTTCTGCAGGACCTTTGAGCAGGGTGTCTTGGTGTTGTCTCCATGTACAGGACAAAGCGGACATGGAAGCCCAATGTGCAATGGAAGCGCGTGTTCAGTTTAGCTTTGGATGAAATGGTCAGAATACGTATGACTACACAAGCGCTGCACCAAATTGATGCTGCCGGCGGCATTGATGAGTATCTGCTGAATACCCCACAAGAGAAGTTGAATTCAGATGTAGGAATGAAGCTCCGGGGCCGCATTGTGGAGGCACTTGCAATCAGGAAGAAAGAAAGGCTCGCACAAGTATCTCAATAAGAGCATAGTTAGGAAGTTGTGAAACCCCCAGTTTGTACATATCAACAATCAAAAGCACCTGTTTGGAGCGAATCTTGGATACTGGGGAGACATACACAGCAAGAGCAGTCGCGTCGCGTGACCAGCAGGAATGTACAGATTCTTGTACCTACAAAAGTAGGTAGTATTCCAATATCTCTTCTGTCAGTGAGATATGACGATCGAGACATTGGGCTTCGTTTCTGAGCCAATGTCAGAATTGAAAGGAACGATCGCACACTAAGTACCATAGGCCTCCACTTTTTATGTTGGTTTTTGAATAGATGTACAGATAGGGTCTAAGATGAGTGATTACGATTGTTGATCTGTTCACAGTGGTCATGTTCTACTTCATATACGTACTGGTTTGCTTCAAAGACAATTCCATAATGGTTTCGATGTTCAGCCTCTGCGGCCACGCATGCGGGAACGCTTACACATCTTGTGCAAGGTTTCAACTTCCATGCAACTAGCACGATGGTATTACACTGCTAAAAGATATCTGGCAAACATGCAACTGAAATGCAGGATATGTATATGCAGACGCGAAGCTTAAGTGATCTTCATGTATAATGGTAACTTCCAATTTATCAACTCGATCAATACACAGATATATATGCCGATCCGCCATCACTTAGGCTCAGGCCGCCCATGCACATATGCAGCTTTAATTCGATACCCAATTACTCCAATTGGCGTGCATGCTTCAGTGAATTGAGCGATTCTGTTAAGCTATATGGTTGCAAATTGAAGCTCGTATAGTCCGAAATTAGCATGAGTAAGACACCCATGTGAGACACCGACATACGTGCCATGGCTATAGCTACCAATGGCCAGTGATCGAGGCCCAGTCGGGAATGCTGCAATTCGTAAATGTGTGTACATTGTTCAGCTGATCGGAAGTTATAAGTCCCGGCTCGCTGAGTATTATAGCTTCTTTACAATCATTTACGCAATACAAGAACTTGATTAGCTACCACGGCTAACATTTACTCGAGTTATAGTCCGTTCTTGATCTAGCTCATTTGGCCGGTCTGTTAGTATGGCTCAGTTCATCATGTGTAGAGATTCTTTGATCACACGAAATTTGCAGCAACAGCAAGCGGCGGATTTAAGTAGATCTCTGAACACAAAGCAAATCCTTCTTTGCAACTCCATGCTGCATAGCCCTTTTCGCACGTTCAAATAGCATGCTTGAAACGAACATACCGTGCAACTGCTGGGTTGACTGTACAGTGGGGCCCAACTTTGCAGAGACAGACAGTCTCGTAGTCCAAGGGCAACACAGTGCCTCATCGGAAAGCCAGATCAGACGGTCAAAGTCTACTGTTTCTCTTGTGCCTCAGGAAGGATTCTGACTCAACGAATCAAAAATGACAATCAAAAGCCGAGGCTGCCCTTCACGGCGTCTCGGAGGGGCCCATCCTCGAAAAAAGCCTTCGTCCCTTCGGACAGGCCATAGTTGAGCACGGTGAGCGCAGTGGCGGCCCCCACCAGCATGCCCATCACCAGCGCGGTTGTCCCGGCCACCTGCCCCAGCGGCGGCCAGTTGATGAGCCCAATCTCCTCGAGCACCCCCGCGTAAAATGCGGAGCTGCTGCGCGCCGGCTCCCCACCGGGCACTCCCTGCAGAGCCTTGCGCAACGCCTGCAGTTCGGCAGCCTGCTCATCCGCAGACTGCGCCGCAGTGGGCTTGGCCTCCACCCCGTCTGACTGCTCTCGGGCTGCCCCCTCCGCAGCGGCTGTGCTCGTCACTGGCTCACTCGCTGGCTGGGCCTTCTGCTGAACCCCCTCTTGCGTCCTCTCTGTTTGTTTGGGCTGCACCAGGGTTGCATTGGCCTCCTCTTCCCGGGCCTTGCTTGGCGGCTGTGCAATGTTTTCTTGCTTCCCCTTTTGCTCTCCTGCTTCCTTCTGCTCTGGCCGCGGGGCGGGTGGCTTCAGCTGCAGTTTCTTGCCCACCAGGGCCACCTTCCCGCTTTGCTTCCGGGTCGCCTGTGCCCGCACACTTGTCCGGCCCGCCCCTCCTGCAACCCGGCGTCGCCTCCAGAAGTCTGCAGACCCTTGACCTTGGGCGCATCTACAACTTGTTTGGCAGCTGTGTGGACCCCATGTTCCCACATCTGTACTGTTCCAGCGGGCCCTGAGGGAAAGACGAGCAAACGAGGTGAGGCGAAACTCGCTGCTTACACAGAGTGATCGCCACATGGCAACATCGAAGTCAGACAACCAAGATGCCTGCTCCATCTTTGCCAACAAAATCTTTGGCCTGTTGAGGCGTCCACAACTCCTTCCCTGCATCAACGCAAGTTGCCCTCTTCCCTGGCGCATGCTCCAGTGCTCACCTGCCTGTGGGGGCCCATTGCAGCGCTGCTGCTCGAGACTGCCCCGTAGCGAGGGCCCCACGTGCGGCTCCTATCCCCGCACAGTGCAGCCGCTCCAATGCTGTGACCGCCATGCCTGCGCACCAGCAAACAGACTCAAACACACAGGTAACAGGGATGCGTGTGCGATTCGTCATGCGGTGTGCATTCCGGTACATTCACCAGAAAAGACCCATCACTTTCAAGAGGAGGCTTTGCGCGAGCACAGTCAGCAGGCGGGTGCCATAGCAGTGCAGCGCGCCGCGCCCTGGCAGGTGGTGGGCATGGGGAGCACACGCTGCAGTCACACTGCAACAGCTGTCTTGAATGCACCAGTTAGCAGGCCCAATCACCAACGGCCCTGCCAATGTGAAGCCATCCCAGGCACTTGCTTGCCTTCCACCAGCAGCAGAGTGGTTTTGTTAGCGAAAAATGAACAGCATGTCCAGCCAGTGGCACCGTCTCACCGTCACGTTGCCCGTGCTGTGTCGGCCACACCTGACAGCGCTGGAAGCAATGGGTCCTGAAGCGGAGTCTCCGGCGACAACAGGCCAGGAATAGCTGCAGCCCACAAAAAGAATGGCAGGTGACGTAATGTAATGGAAATGTAATGTAATGGACTGCTTGTTGGGGGCAGCGGAGAGCAGGCAAAAGAAAGCCCAGGAAGTAGGAGATGCAGCGGGCACTGCTAGTGCCCACAAAAGGATAACTTTTTTGGATTAAGTTGCCCGATACGTGCACGTCAATGACCAGCACAGCAACCTGCATATTGTGCTCTGCGTCATTCAGATAGGAGAGAACCATTTGAACGCGCCACATTCGACATACTAGCATAAGCAATGAAACTGGTCTGGGTAGATGCAGCCACAGAAAGAAGAAAAAGTACGGTCCCCACCTGCAGAATTCACCAACTGAAGCGAGCACTCCCGCCTGATTTCGATGTGAGCAAAGCACGACTGCTCCAAGCAACTTTTGTAACCGCTCCTCACAGAATGGTGCCAATTACCGATTCCCTCTTCACCTCCCCCAATCTCAAGCTAGCGTACTGCAGTCTCACAATGCTGTAAAGGGGACAACCGACAATTGCCCTCTCAAAATCCTTCGAATCCAATCAGAACCTGGGACCTTTGAAAGGACAGCCTTCTCGCACAAAGGGAGCCTTCAAAGACAGCCCTCTTCAACTTGGTCTCCAAGAAGACAGCAAGTTATTAATTTATAATAGAGAAGAAGCAGGCCGGTTGCCAAGCTGCCGTTTCCTGTGACGAGTGGAATTTTCAAGGCAGCAGCAAGCATTCCCAGGTAACGGATGGCACCGTTACGGGCCTCGGCGTGAGCTTAGAATGCTCAGTGAGAAGTCCGGTTTGAAATTTAATCAAGCTCAAAAACTGTGTGAGCTTCTTCGCAAGCAGAGGTCGGCTGCGGATCTGATCAATGCCAATGGGCTGCTGGTCCGTTCCTACAGTGTTGTGATCTGTACTCCTCATACTGGTCATAATCTCCTCCTGCCCCAGCCTTCAGGTGGTGGCAGGGCATCTGCTTTGCTGCACACCTTGTATTGTGTGGCGCCATGCTCCGGGTGCGGCTTCCCCTTGCGTGGTCGCAGGGCGTGCCCCGCGGCGCTGCCTGGTCCGCTGTTTGGGAGCGCTGGGATGCTGCGCTGGGGGCGGGCCCTGCTCTTGCGGCGGAGGGGGCCGGTGTTGCGCCCGGCATGCTGGGGGCAGCGCCGGCGGCGGGGCAGCGCTGGGCGGCGCGCCTCATGTCCACCTTTGTGCGCAGGTGAGGCGCCAGCTGCGTGGTGGGATGAGGGCAGCGGGGGGCTCCGGGGTGCCGGTTTCGGGTTTAGATTGCTTAGGTGTCAGAGAAGCACGGACATCCGAGCAGAATGACTTGTATCTGCAGTCGACCAGCCATCAGCGTTTCCTTGATCGTCCTGCCAGCTTCTGGTCGCTGGGGCTCAGGGCTCGGAGCCTGGCTGCCTGCTATATCGTGCAGTGTGCCAGCACTGGTTGTCAGCGCAGTGGCTGGAAGCAGGCAGAGCGGTGCTGACTGCGTGCCCTGTGTGTGCGGTGCAGCAAGCCCCACCTGAACATCGGGACCATCGGGCATGTGGACCACGGCAAGACCACGCTCACGGCCGCCATCACCAAGGTCAGCGCCCGCATGCGCGCCATGATTGCTCGGGACGCTTGCTCCCTCTATGCTTCATGCTTCTCTGAGCAATGCTGGCAGGCAGGCCTGGTGCAGTGGGCCTGAGCCTGAGTGTGCTGGGTGCAGGTGTTGTCGGAGCAAGGGCAGGCTAAGGCGGTGGCGTTCAACGAGATTGACAAGGCCCCTGAGGAGAAGGCGCGCGGTATCACCATTGCCACGGTGAGACTCGCGCATCATGGCAACATGGCGTGCCTCTTCTCTCTTGTCCACTGCTTGCATGCTGCAGTGCGATGGAGTGGTGGTAGCGCTGCACGCTGGCTGGCAACTGCACGTCCTGACTGGTTATACTGCTGGGGTGGCTGCAGGCCCACGTGGAGTATGAGACGGACAAGCGGCACTACGCCCACGTGGACTGCCCTGGTCATGCCGACTACGTCAAGGTCAGCCCACCGACGGCCCACTTGTACGCAGGGAGACGCTTTATGTAATTTCGTGAAAGTACCGGTAATATTTCTGGGGTGCGCAGTGTGCCCCGATCCAGTCGAGACCCAGTCACCAAGCAGTCAGCATACCTGGCAGACATTGGTGGTTTACATATGGCCCGCATGTCCTCGAATGCAGACATCCAAAGATCCAAAGGCAGGGGCCCAGCTAATGCAAAGATTCCCCTGCTTAGCATATCGACTGTGTTTCGTTGGCTTGCAAGGTTCTTGCAAGTGGAAATAGGTCACAGTGGGCTTCATGACTACTCGCACATTTTTCGTAGGGCCTTGCAGCTTGTGGGCCTATGTTTGCCCCCCCACCCTTTCTGCCGGATCTGTCAACCAGTCAGGGTATGTCAACTTGGTTCTACAATTCCTGATTTGTGCTCCATCAGGTACTTCAGCCGTTTGCTCAGGTCTCTTTCGTCTGGGCTGCCCTGCTTGGCTGACTGCTGCCGGTGGGTTGGCTTGTGTGTGCAGAACATGATTACGGGCGCAGCGCAGATGGATGGGGGCATCCTGGTGGTGTCGGCCCCCGATGGGCCCATGCCCCAGACGCGCGAACATATCCTGCTCGCTCGCCAGGTACGCGTTGTGCGCGCGTTTGCAACCGCCATGCGCTTTCTTTGACTGCAGCCCTCCTGAGTCAGTTGCGCTGCCTGTTGGAGACTCCCCGCGACTTGTTCGTTGCAATCGAGAGAGGGCGCTCTGACGGCGGCACGGTTGTGGGCGGGGTGCAGGTGGGCGTGCCGTCGCTGGTGTGCTTCCTGAACAAGGTGGATGCCGTGGACGACGAGGAGCTGCTGGAGCTCGTCGAGATGGAGCTGCGAGGTGGGCGGCGCAGGACAAGGCCCGAGGCTGCGGTCCTGCCGCAGTTCTTCGTTCCGGGAAATCTCACCTTATTCTGGCATGCAGTGGACAAACATGCTGGGTGCGGCTGTAGGCCAGCCATGGTTGCGACTAGGATTGGAGAAGTGTGATTTGGACGGGGCCAGGCTTCTGGGAGGGGGACGCGGCCTGCCTACTGACTGTGTGCCTGCTGCTGGTGCAGAGCTGCTGACGTTCTACAAGTTCCCGGGTGACGACATCCCGATTGTGCGCGGCAGTGCGCTGGCGGCGCTGGAGGGGCGCGACCCCGAGATTGGGCGCGACGCAATCTTGAAGCTGATGGCGGCGGTGGACGCGTACATCCCGGAGCCGGTGCGTCAGTTGGACAAGCCGTTTAGCATGCCCATCGAGGACGTCTTCTCCATCCAGGGCCGCGGCACCGTCGTCACGGGGCGGGTGGAGCAGGGCGTGGTGCGCACGGGCGAGGACGTGGAGATCGTGGGGATCAAGGAGAAGCCGCTGCGCACGACGATCACGGGCGTGGAGATGTTCAAGAAGACGCTGGACCAGGGCCAGGCGGGCGACAACGTGGGGCTGCTCATGCGCGGCCTCAAGCGCGAGGACGTGCAGCGCGGGCAGGTCGTGTGCAAGCCGGGCAGCGTGAAGACCGCGCGCCGCTTCGAGGCCGAGATCTACATCCTCACCAAGGAGGAGGGCGGCCGCCACACCGCCTTCTTCAAAAACTACCGCCCCCAGGTCAGCGCCCGCACATGTGCACCGCACCGGCAGGACCAGCCTCTCAACGGCCGGTGCCGCAGCCGGAGCAATCCACGCTGCACCATCCGCAGTCCTTAGCGTACGGCCTGCTCCTCGCTTGTTGGAGCAGTGCGTGCTGCACCTCATGCTGACACAGCTGGAGGGCCGCCGGATGCTCCTTGAATACTCTTTGAATGCCCTTGACCCGTGCAGTTCTATCTGCGCACCGCTGACATCACGGGGTCCATCACGCTGCCGGAGGGGGTGGAGATGGTGATGCCCGGCGACAACATCCGCGCCACGCTCGACCTGCTCACGCCCATTGCCCTCGACCCAGGTCAGCGCTTCCATCCTGTCATTGCAAGAGGATCATGCCTGGCAAGTGATTCTCTTACAGATTGACAAGAGGCACGTGCTTCCGGCCTGCGGACGCCTGTCAAACCTGGTCCAACTTGCTTTAAATTGATCCCCCCTGTTGCATGCATTGCAGGGTTGCGGTTTGCGCTTCGAGAAGGCGGTAGAACTGTTGGAGCGGGGGTCGTTTCCAAGGTCCTGAGCTGATTGGCACATTGCATATATGCTTACTTTTGAATCGAGATCATGGACAACGCCATGTGGCACAACGAATCTACGTGATTTGGCAGCTTGGCAGATTCATCATTGCAAGCATTAGTATTGGAACTTCGGATGCCCACTGCATGATGCCGTGTCACTCTACGAACCATTACGAAGGTGATTCGGCCTGGCCCGACCCATCCAATCGCTCATGATTTCAATCTTGAAATCGTGTCTACTCTGACATGTAACGATTACGAC